GGGCCGGCGGAGGGGGGGCGTTTAAAGGGCCGCGGGCGCCGGGTGGGGCCCGACACGTGGGCCGGGCGGGGCGGGGCTGCGGGGGGCGGCGCCCGCGGGGGTCCGGGGTCCGCGTGGGCAGCCGCGCTGAATATCGTGGCAGCCTAGGGGTTAGGGGAGCCGCCGTCGCCGAGATCGGTCCGTTATTTATAACGCAGTCGGGCTTGAGCGCCCCAGGGCCCTCCCTTGAAGGAAGCTGAGGACGGGGCTCAGGGTGCGGACGCTGCCTTCGCCTGGCTGCCTTTGCTCTGGAAGTTTTCCTTCCGCCGCTGCCTGGAGGGAGGGCACCCAGAGAACCCCATCGCGCCTGACACCAGGTCACCACGGCGCCTGCAGTTGGGGTTGAAGCATGACCTCAGCTTTTAGTCACTGCTGCCTCCTTCCAGATCTTCTCCTCGTTAGAAAACGCCCTGTCAACAAAACCTCCTGCACCGGGAGTTAGAGCAGCAGTGGACTTCCCCCAAACAAGGCACTCTGAACGCAGCTGCGTCCTAAAGACAGGCTGTGGCCCCCCAGGACCTCCCTAGTGCGTCAGAACGCTTCGCCAGCCGCCTCCCCGAGGTCACCCAAGGTAGCCTGTGACCTGCTAAGGACAAGCGGAGCTGGAGAGCGTTTTTGGAACAGGGCTGGGTTTAAGCAGGATCTGCTTAATGACACATGTCCAGGATGCCTGTTTGTAGTTGCCCCCCGACCCCACAGAAAGCCTGGAATCGCGGGGACCCATTCTTGTGTTTCCATCTCCAGACACGCATAACCACTGCACATGGGGGGCAGACCCACGGTTGTCTGTGAGTGAGTGAGTGAATGAATGAGAAAAGCAGAACAGCCTCACTGTGACTGTCCTGTGGAAACTGCCATCAGGGGTGCCCGACATTGTGTGCAGCACGGGCCATGTCATGTATCTGATGTTGGGGTCTTATGTGGTCAAACAGAAAAAAAAAATATTCAGCAAATGCTCTTCCTGGGCATCTTTTTACATTTGCATTTTCAAAGCTAATAGGTTCCCTGTAAGTCAGTCTTCTGTGATGGTTGAACATTTGCTGGTGCCCAAGTGTGAAGTTCTCTCAGCAGGCCACAGGAGGCTGGCTAGAGTCAGTCTTTAGCCGGGACAGATGTGATGAGTAATTTAAAAATGGGCTGAGAGCTAAAAGCGCTGCCCTCCATCCTTGTTTTAACTTTCCTGGCACCTTGATTCACTTCATAGCTAACAAAGAGCAGCTGTGGCTTGCTTCTCTCAATTTACTAGTAGCCGCAGCTCTGAGTCACCCGTCCTTTCATTCAGCACCGCCGCCGGCCTGCCTGGCAGGAGCCAGGCTCTGCGCTAAATGCTAGGATTCAAAGCTGCCCAAGAGCTCGTGGACCGCGGAAGACACACCTGTTAACAAGCTGTCACTGTAAACGGGGACACGTGCTTTAATCGTGGTGTGTGTCCAGTACTGTGGGAGCCGTTGAGACAGGCCCACGTGGCTGTCTGGAAGTAGTGACCTTTGAAATGGATCCTGAGACACTGCAGAGGCTCACCAGGACAAGAAGAGCGACAGGGCAGCGTAGGACAAGAGTTGGGCAAATGTAAGAGGCACAGAGGCGGGAAAGCATCCGGCGTGTTCAGGGAGACAGACAGCTCACAGTCAGGGCGTTGTGTGTAGACCACGGGCACCAGAATCGCTGGCCAGAAACTGGTTATTCATAGGACCCTCTCTCGAGCATCCATGGGTGCCAAGAAAGCAAGATTTGCATGTTGAGAAAAATTACTCCATGTCAATTTGGAGGCCAGAGCAAGGACAGTGTAGAGGCGGGATATGGTGATGCTAGATACCTGGCCCTGAGCGAGGGTGGCGCCATGCGCTGGAGAGGCCTGGCTGCATTTGGGAGTCTTGTAAGAGGTGAAATTGATTTATTTAGTAACTGATTAGATGTTGGGGGAGAGTCTGGCTAACTCTGGATTTTCTGGCTTCGGCAAATAAGTACATGGGATCCTAATAGTCAAAACAAGGAGACGGAAATGGAAGCAGATTGAGGCATGCTGTCATGTTAAGGTTGAAGTCCCTGGAGGGTATTTTGAGGAGGGGGCCCGAGTTTGAGTTTCAGAGGTTATTAGGTTCCAGGAAATAGACCAAGAGAAAAGCATTTAATTGGGGCAATGTAGTTATCTTTGCTCATCTGAGTTACTTGTCAGGCTGCAGTTTTGTACATAAATGTCACCCTTTGTCTTCTGGTAGCACGTCCTAAGCCTCCATAGACAGGACAGATCAACAGCAGCCATCCCCAAATCATGGGAAAGTCATATAAAGGAAAAGAAATCTTTCTTTTTAAAACTGAAAATGAGACCTTGTTATATCCGGTAGAGTGCCAATAAAATATGACTCATCCACAGACTTGAGCCCTTGACATTCTCAGAAGGCTCACCCATGACCTTCATGAGTCTCCAAAATCATGAATGTCACATTGACAGATACTTTCCACTCCACAAAGCAGGAAAGTGTAACTGAAAAATGTAAAGGATCCTTTAATGGTTCTATAAAGATGGGGCCAAGGTAATTTCTAAAGCTACTGAAATAAATTTTGCCATTAAAATAAACTCCTTACTTTATTACAGCTCTACCTTATTAACTCCATATTTCCCTGACTGCAAAGAAAAAAAAATGTGACCCACAGGATGAGAATTACCCCATAGATGTCCATGAGAAGAGCTGAGCTGGGCGGGGACGGAATGACAGGTGTTGGGTGTGGCCCACCAGCTAAGTGTGTCTCAGCAAAGGACCTCAGGACAGGGCCCTTTCCAGACCACCCATTGGAGACGGTTTTTGTCTAGGAGTTTTCAGTCTGTAAAATGGCAGTGGGCCACTCACCTGCAGCTCCAATGCGAGTCCTCTGAAGTGCCAATGTCACTGCACTGCTCTTCTAAGCTTGTCTCTCTCGGCATGGTGTGTCCCCCTGTCTCTGGGAGCACTTTTCATGCTGTGTCAGTTGTTTGCTCTCACTTGTCCCCATTCAGTAGGCAGGTCGCTCCTAATGGGAATGTGTCATCATGTCCAGCCCACTGCCTGGCATCTAGGAGCTGCTCAGTAAATGTCTGAATGACTCATTTTTTCAAAATCTGAGAAAACATTATTTCCCGTAACGTCACATGAGCTCTGTCTCCTAGCCTACAGCAAGCCTAGGTTTTTACCCCAATTCTTTCTGTACGGCACCTCTTGGTCCCTTTACTGTTTCCCCAATGTGCTTCCTTGAGGTGAAGCGATGCCCTTTGTCTCAGAGCGCAATGCACCATCTCAGGGGTTATCTGTTCTGGGCACCAAGAAACGGAAGCACTTCAGGGACAAGACATGGATGACAGTCGTTCTTCGTAACTTCATTCGGGTTGGCTCTCAGGCCCAGCACAAATGCGCCTTTGTGCTTCATGCTTTCGATGTGCCTGTGCGTGACAGAGCCCCCCAGTTCCCGGGTCAGGGCTCTGGAGCACACTCCTGGATGCTGGCCTCTCGCCTTCCTCACAGGCCCCTCATTCAGCCTACCATGACCTCGCGCCCGGTCTTTCCAGAAGCAGGGCCATCTCTGACTTTATTTTTCCTGTTGATTGACTCAATACTCAGTTTGTCAAGTGAGTGTTTTAGAAACTCTGGGTCACAAGGGCCTATTATCTAGTTGACCTTGGCAAGGGTTTTCAGAAACTGTAGGACAGACTACCAAAAGCTGCTGAGGAATTACGTCTGGAGCTGTTAAAGTGGAGATGGTTCTATTGAGTGTAGACGGGCAAAAGGTTAAATGAACCCTCAAGGTCCTTGAACACAGGATTAAGGACACGACTCTTGTTTGGTTGTGAACGCTTCCTACTGCCACTTCAAGTCAGAGTAACCGATTTCTCCTCCAGGCCAGGCAAAGAAACAACAGGAGTAGACCATGGCAATGGACTTGGGCTGCTTTGCCGAAGGCGATGAGCCCACGATGTGGCAGCTGCTTCAGGTAGCCAGTGCTTATCAAGCTTTCCCCTCCAGCCTCACAGTACATCAGGCTGCAGACCCTGAAGGGTGCTGGAGATCCTCAGCTGACCTGTTGTGGGTCACGGTGCCCGTGCCTGGACATTGAGTCCTTTTCTCAGTCTTCATCTGCAGGGTTCGATGCTCTTCTCTTCTTTTAATCCACGATTCTGCAAATCCTGATGCACCTGCTCGCTCCTTTGTCTCCTCTTGCTTCCCCCTCCCCTCCCTGTTCCTAGGGGTGTCTCCTCCCCTCCCTGAACTCCTGAGAACACTTATCCATGCTGT